AAAGGCCGCGGGTTTGGTGCACAACTTGGGATTCAGTATGGCTAGCTCACGGCGGCTAATGAGCCAGAAATGGTAATTCCAGACTACCTTGTGATTACAGGTTATGCTATCTACCTAAACTCCTTACTGCTGTGTGGAGAGAGTTCCGTTGGCGACAGGTGAATGTTGACCAACGTAGCAAAATGTTTGGTTGACCAAACCGGGACCTTTCAAATGATGGTTCATGCGAAGTAAGAGCTGAAGAGTTTCTACAGACTTTTTCCACCAAGGTCAGACAAATTAAAGCTAAAAATATTAAGTGGTAATCTAAACTACACTGTTTCCGGTAATTGACAGTAGTGAGAATTTAGAAGACGTTGCTTCCCGGACTCGTTTAGGCTGAACTACTTTAATTATGCCATACAGACAAACTGCAATCAGTGAGTTACAGGTGGAACCTCGGTTAACGAGTCTAGTCCGTTCCAACACGGGGCTCCTCATGTAAAAATTTCGGTTTAAAAAAACCTAGCCAATCAAACTGTACCAGTTTGCTGATTAGTTGCAGATGACTGAGGACCCACACCCTAGGAGCAAGACTTAACGTTGAGGTTTACATTGTCCCAAACTCGCACTGTCGAAGGGGGAATAGTTATTCAACTAAGGTATCAGTTAGATCATATTAGGTTCATCAAATGTCTCCTCTAATTGACTGAATTATACACCAGAAGTTGCTTTGTAGCAAATTGAAACTTGCTTGTTCTTCCCTGCAGGAACTTGGTCAAAAACTAGAGACTGCGTCAAACGAGCACTTCGCCTTCATGCAAGTGAACCAGAACTTCAACCGGTGGATCCAGCAGAAAATGGAACTCGCCCAGATGAATAGCGCTTCTGTTCAAAACCTGGCACAAGTGGAAGATGCCCTCTGCAAACTCAAGGTATCAGTCGCATGCATGCCTTTTATCTTTGTTATTTGAGTAAAAACTCTTCAATTCATACCTCAATGACAATTGTCTCAATATTAAAATACTACAAGTCGCACTACTACATGTTAGTAAGTAGCAACAGAGTTTTCGGTTTTTCATTCAGAACTTGGAAGAGGAGTTGCTGGCTGGAGTCGAACAACAACAGACCCTGGTTGAGGCCACGAACAAGGCCGCCACCGCCTCTTCGCGGGCACTGAGGGCAGTTAATACAGCTTACGCGGCCCTCTGCAGAAGTGAA